TTCAGGTTTTAACATGCTTCTTCTGATATCAGGCTGACAGGTTCTTGAACTAACAAAGGTGTGATGCACAGTCACCTGATCAATAGAGCCATCTGCAAACAGGATATTTTTCTGTCTCTCACTTGAAAGTAGAGCTATTATTCATAGTAACATTCTAACAGAGGGGAAACCTGGCTCTATGGGCAATAGAAAGGAGGGATGTCGTAAAATCTCCTTTACACACTTGCACCAACTCTGAGCTAAAGTAAAAGAAATCTTTGTTTCAGTGAATTAATACTTTCCTCAATATCCAAAATTGTGATAGAACTGGATTGAAAGTCAAAGTGTTGAGGCACATGTAAATCCTAAATACCCTGAATTACTAGATCCAGTAATATTATTCCACCAGTAGACAAGAATCGTCTGGTTCTTCCAAGGGCTGGATCAAACTCCAAGTCTGGAAATGGGGCATTTCCTCTCACATTACAGTTCTCATGTTCAACTTGAACATGATGAACTGTGTCATAATTACAGCCATCCAAATAGGATTGATGCAATCATGTGGCATAAGGAAACATAGAAACATAGAAACAGAGCGAGTCAGAAGGCCCTCCCAGGCCATCTAGTCTAACCCTCAGCTCCAGCCGGCTCCTCTCACAACATGTGCATGTCCAGCCTATCTTTGAACACCCGCACCGATGGGGCCTCAACCACCTCCTGTGGAAGCCCATTCCATACCCTCAGGGTCCTAACTGTCAGGAAGTACTTCCTGGCATCCAAATTGAACCTTGGTTCCCTGAGCTTTGCTCTGCTGGAATGTGTCCTGCCTTCTTCTGCAGGGGAGAACAGGTCTCTACCCACCTCTGTGTGACACCCCCTCACATGCCTGTATGTCGCCACCAGATCCCCTCTGAGTCTCCTCTTCTCCAGGCTGAAAAGACCCAGTTCCCTTAGTCTCACCTCATACAGCTTTCCCTGCAAACCGGCCACCATCCTTGTGGCCCTACGCTGCACTGACTCTAACCTGGCTATCTCCTTCCTGTAATGAGGGGCCCAGAACTGAACACAATACTCCAGTTGCGGGTGCACCAGAGTCATATAGAGTGGTAGTAATACCTCTCTCAATGTAGGAGCCACGCTTCTGGCTATACAACCAAGGGTGGCATTCGCCCTTTTGACCACCTCTTCACACTGCTGACTCATGTTTAGCCTGCAGTCAACCAGTACCCTGAGATGCCTTTCACAAGAGATGCTCTCCAGCCACTTGTCCCCTAACCTGTACTTAAGACACCCATTCCTATGCCCCAAGTGCCAGACCTTGCACTTATCCACATTGAATGCCATTCTGTTGTCTCCTGCCACTTCCATAGTCTGTCCAGATCCTTTTGGATCTGGAGTACCTGCTCCTCGGTTGTGACCACTGCCCCAGTTTTAGTATCGTGTATGAATTTGATCAGCAGAGTGTTCACCCTTCTTCCATGTCGTTGATGAAAAGATTGAACAGGATCAGCCCCAGGACAGAGCCCTGGGGGACCCCGCTTGTCACTGGTCACCATCCTGATGATTCCCCACTAATGGTTACCCTCTGCTTTCGGTCAGTCAACCATGTCCTAATTCATTGGACAGTGCATTGGTCTATCTCAAAACTCCTCAATTTCGCAACCAGGATATCATGGGGCACTTTGTCAAAGGCCTTACTGAAATCCAGGTAAACCACATCCACTGCATCCCCTCCATCTAGCCATCTCGAAACCTTGTCATAGAATTCCACAAGGTTTGTCTGGCAGGACCTGTTTTTGCGGAAGCCATGTTGTGTGGCTGCCAGCCTCCCTTCCCTATCTAGCATCTCTAGATCTCTCGCTATTATGGGACATTCCATTGTTTTTCCTACAATGGACATAAGGAGAGTGAATGAATCCCACATTCCCATTCTTGAAATAGATTTTGACTAGGCAAGGACATGTTCCCAGTGGTAGCAATATGTATTCTTGCAGTCTATGTTTGTGTGTCTGAGAGAGGAGGAGGGAGGCAGGGAGCATGAATAGAAGTCATTTTGTGTGTTGATTCCAGAGTAGGGTTGATTTAGTATTTATCTAATCATGTACGATATAGAGTCAACATATACTTCTAGATCTCTTGTTTATGACTTTTTATTTGCTGAGATTTTTGAAAGAGCAATACAGTTGTTCTGTGTTCCCTGTTTCTGAGACATTCTATTTAATTTTCTATATTATCCATTAAATGCACAGATTTGTAGGAAGGCAGAATTTATTTTTAAAAAATAAAGTATGAAAGAAACTTCATTTAATTTAAATTATTGAAGCATACCTGTAAATGAAAAGTTAATTGAAGATTCTAAGAGAATTTTGCAGTTATATATCATTAGAAAGATTTTGTCTGGTGTGTTCCAAAATTGATTTTCCAATAACATCAGTTCAATGTATAAAGTGATTAAAATCAAGTCCAGAGATTGCCAGTCCAATTTGTCATCAATCTTTTATACTTCATAGGGCAAAATTTGAATATTTCTCATCAAGGCACCCATTTTATCTCTTCAGTAAGCCTAGCAATGATAAGTATCCCCTTAGCGCTATTGCTCTACACTTGTAAATACAACATTTGCAAAATTATCTCCACAAAATACAACATCATCATGATAACAATGTAATTAACAGAGTACGATTTATTCTCAAATGATGCAATTCTAACTCAACCCTATAGAAAGTAATAGGTACTATGTAAGTGCACAATTTTCATCTATCTTAAGGAGCAATCTTATGACCACCATACACTGTCTAAGGGACCATGAGATACTTTGGATCCCCAGATTCAAGGCAGGGGATAGCATTCTGACCTTAGAGAAAGGAATCCATAATCTGTCCCCTTCCGCCTCTTACACAGTGTGGAATGGAACATGTGGGTGCTTCTCTGAGGTTGGGAAGACATCTTTGGAGAAGAGGTGTAGGGGGTGTTTTGGTGGGTGGGAAGGGGAGAAGACTGGAAAAGCCAGGATCTGAGTTTTTATGAGGCCTTCACAGCTTCCTGTCCTCTCCCTCCAAACTGCTTTTGCAGACTAGGTAAAAGAAGCCCATGAAAATGCAGGGTGCAAAGATGGGAAGACAGAACTTGCCTCACTGTTCCCCTGCATTTCAGTGGCTTATGATCATCATAATATTGCTTTCTCCCTCTGTTAACTGACAAGACTAAACATAGTGATATGTTTATCCATCGATTTTTATCCTGGATGTATCCATCGATGGTCATCTTGGTCCACTCATTCTTCAGAAGTACTGTGTGCCTCTGGCAGCATCTAAGTTCAGTTCTTCTTCATGGGTTGAAGGTCCATAGTGATTTTGTCTAATCCAACTATGCCAGTTCACTTAAATTTTTGAATTATCTGTTTGTCAGTAGAACTTGAGAAAGACTGAGGGATATTATACTTAGCTATAGAGATGTTCATCATTGGCATATTGGATTTGTTCCTCTGTCTATGTCAGCCTGCCCCACGGTTAAGACCTCCAGATGTTTTGAAGTAGACACAAGTGCCTCAGGCATTTCTGACAATTTTCCATGCTGACTGGGGCAAATGGGAATCAAAGTGCAAAATAACTGGAAGGTACCAATTTGGAAAAGGCTTTTATATATCTGGAAAGTGCCAAACTGGGAAAGACTGACACATATTCTGTGCCTCACTTGGAACTCCTTGCAGAAGGAAAACTTGGAAATTCACCATTTGTTATGGATTTGTTTGTATGCTTCTTTTCATTGAAGCATTTATAAACCCTCTAGACTACACTGATTACACCTTGCTTGTGTCCATTATGGAGGTAAAATCTGGGCTTCCCTAGTAGGAGGTGTTAAGACTGGGAAATTTGGTCCATTTGAGCTTGACAGATTCCTTCCCTGCATCCAATCTAATGATTGGAAGTGAGCCAAGTCAGAGTTTTTCATAAGCACCTGTCTCTAAGGCAGGCTGTGGTTTTCATGCACCTGTGTGTATGCGTGCACATACGCGTATCTAAGGAAATTTACTCAAATCCCTCAATTTGCATAAATTTCCTTAGGGGTTTTTTTTTTAGGCACAAATCATGGACTGTCTTATCAACAGAAATCTGGAAGTTAAGTCAATTTATACCACATCAAGTTGATATATGCACAGGGATGTGTGAACCAGAATCCAGAGGGCCAAATTGTGGAACTCTTTTGGATTTTCATAGCCCTCTCAGGTTCCTCACAAATCACAGATTCCTGCTCCTTGGTGGAAGCTCTCCCTCTTTGGCATTTTTTCCTCATGGAGGCTCACGCGCCTCAGGCTCACTTCTGCACTTTCAGAAAGAGCTGCAAAGTAGTTCTCAGGCTTGCATTTTTGCAGTTTCTTGTCTGATTTTCAGCATTGTGCAATATCCCCTTTCTGTTTGTCTAGCTTGTGTTTAACTATGTTCACATTTTATCTTATTTTATCAGATTTTTAAATTATTTACTTTGTTTTAAATTTAGTTATACAGAAATATACAGGATAGCAAGGAAATTAATAATTTCTGGTGTATTTTGTGCACAATTGGGATAAAGAAATGCATACAATTTAAAGAGTAGCCACAGTGGATCCTTCAACACTGATTTGATCCCAGCTTTGCAATTTGTAGGAGAATCTTATGAAGAACCAACTGGAGCATAGCTGGCTAATTAGTCTTGCATTACCTCAAAGTTACACTGGTCTGTCCATTTTTGTGGCATTCTGGCACATGTACACTTATTCATTTAAAGGTTTATCCTGGATCTACATAGGTAGTAGTATGAGTATTATCCATCTAGCATGTTTTACAGTCACTGTTGACCCCACACAAATTGAATCATGCTGCAGATTTGAAGATCTCTTCATCCCAGGAGAGAATATAGTATCTTTATGCAGTGAAAACTGTTACTCCTGTTTTAACTCTGAAAGATGCCAACAACTTCTGATTCTTGTGGAGTGAATAATTCTAATGCTTTTCTCTCTCCTCTTTTTCATGATTTCCCCAAAGCTCTGGTTTACACGGAGGTGACAGCGTCACCAAAACCGGACCTGGGGGCCTTCCGGACATGAGACAAGTGCCAACTGTTGTGATCGAATGTGATGACAATAAAGAAAATGTGCCTCATGAATCTGAATATGAAGATTCTTCATGCCTCTACACACGAGAAGAAGAGGATGAGGATGAGGAGGAGGATGATGACAGCTCCTTATTTACAAGTAGGAGTCTTCTTCTCCTGCTGGGCATGTGTTCTTTTCTCACAGCACTGAAGAAGGAACAGAGCCACTGTGCAGAGAACAGCCTAGTACTATTTCACTCAGTTGTTAATAATTCCTAAATCAGTCATGTGAAAAATACTCTCTGGTAGTCAGATGGGTCACTACCATGCTTTAGCATGGGAAAACTAATATACAAGAACACCTTGCCTTAAAAAATCCTATTAAAATTGTGGTAGACAAGAAAAACTACGGAAGCACTGAAATGCACTCCACTCCTATGCACCCATGCCTATTTGGGGCCAGCTTCAGAACAGAACTCCTTAATGAGCCATCTTCTTCATTAGTGGCCCCCAAATTGAGTGTTGGCAGGTAGAGCAGCTCTGCTCCAATGAATTCTGGAGTGGCTTGAGCCACCATTCCCATTTTCCACAATTCCTCTGGAGCAACTGCATGCAGGGCTCTCTGGGGTATTTGACCTCGGGCAACAGTATGCTAGAGACTCTAAGAGAATGTCAGGCATAAATGGCAGTCCCAAGATGCCCCAGGACAGATATTGGTGGTGGAGCATGCAGGAGTGCTGACCAAGGCCCAGGTTATTGCCCATGGTTGCTGGGTCCCAGCACTAGCACTGTGTGAACATATTCTGCAAATATATTTTATGCAAGTTCCGTGGGATGTGCAGCATATTCTTCTTCCTGAACTGTCATAGTTGGCAAAGTTCCTGATTGTTTTGATGGGGTTGGAATCAGGCATCAAGAAACTGAGCAGAAGTTCTAGGACTTCCTCTTTAAAGTCCTTAAGTACAGGAGAACCCATCTCTCCTCTTATAGAGATGGTGGCAGCAGCCCCTTGAATTAAGGTTTATGGAGCTGGGAGATGAGCACAAGTAATCCATCTCAACAGTTGGATTACTGTGTCCAGCTCTGGGCACCCCATTTTCAGAAAGACATTGACAAGTTTGCCTTGGACTCGAGCAATCTGGGCTCTAGTCCCTGCTCAGCCCTGGAGCCAACTGAGTGACTTTGGGTCAGTCACAAACTCTCAGGGATTGAGAGCAGCAGCATGAGAATGATGTAAGCCACTCTGAGTTCTTTAAAAAAGAAAAAAAGTGGGATATAACTATAAGTATGTTGGAATACCTCCAAAGAAAAGCATCCAGGATGGTGAAAGGTCTGGGAATCAACTGGTATAAGGAATGTTTGAACAAGTTGGGTATGTTTTAGCCTGGAGAAGAGAAAATTGAGGGGAGACATGATAGCAGTCTTCAAGCATCTGAAAGGATGCCATGCAATCGATAGAGCACACTTGTTCTCTCTTGCTCCAGAGAGCAGAACTAGGACCAGCTGGTAGAAATTTCAGGGAAGCAGATTTCAGCTAAACATCAGGAGATAACTTCCTAAGAGTGAGAACTGTTCAGCAGTGGAACAGATGGCCTCAGGAATTGGTTGACCCTCCTTCACTGAAGACATTTAAGCAGAGAAAGGTTGGCCATCTGTCAGGGATTCTGTACTTGCATCATGCAGTACCAATCCTGCATTAAGCAGCCTGTTATCTAGATGATAGCCAAGGTCAATAGATCTATGAACATTGCTCCGTGGTCATGCGTGTTCTGATGCTAAAGGACTGATGCTTGGATGCAGTGGAGGACCTGTTCTGTCTTGCTGTCCTCTTGTATCCTTGATAAAACTCTTCTCCAAAGCTACTTCTTTCTGCCCAAGGTTCCCTTGCAGTGAAGGTCTGCAGGAAAGATTCTTTAGCCATCAAACTTAGCAACAGGCCATCCAAACGAGAATTGGAGGAGAAGAACATCCTCCCCATGCAGACTGATGAGGAAAGGCTGGAGCTGAGGCAGCAAATTGGGACAAAGCTGACAAGGTAAGAGCAACTTTGGGGTTGCCTGCTCCTCAGTGAAAGTAAAGGGGTGAGATTATCTCAGCAACTTTTTATTCTGCTATACAACATCTTAGGGCTGGTGAGCATCTCAGTCTACCTCTTGTTCATCTGGCAAAGAAGTGAATCCAAAATAACTCTAGGAAGAAAATGTTTAGGGGGTTGTTTTTGTTGCTTAAAAAGTAACTTCTTGCCATCCGATAGCTGTTAGACAAGGGGAAGTGACATGTAACAGCACAGGTGCATTTAAGTCAGGTCCAGTCTGGCCTTCAGATTCTGCAGTGGAATGCCTGGAGAGGCAAAGGCGCATGCTTTCATGTGGAGCAATCGGCCACTCTCACTTTGAGTCATTGTTGACTTGGTGTTAGGCGGTGATATGTATGCCAGTGCCTTCCCCAGCTGTGTTGGGCATTTGCCGGAGACTTTCATTGAAAAAATGTTCCTTCAGCTAGCCCTGGAGTTAGGAAACATAAACCACCATATGAGGACAGTTTTATTTACTTGGAGGTAAGAATGTGAGTAGAGCTCTAGAGGACTGGACCAGAGGTCTGCCGAGTCCAGCATTCTGCTCCTGCAGTGGCCAAACAGATGCCTAATGGAAAAGCCACAGTAGGGCATGAGACTAGTAGCACCTCTGAGCAGCTGCTATTCAGAGGTATGCTGCCACTGACACCGGAGGGAAAATATACACATGTTGCAACCATAGGCAGCTCTTCCAAGGTACAGTGGGGGCATTTTGAAGGGACTGCTCTTGGTTGGCAAAATCAGGGGCGTGAAAGCAGGCTTGACCGGTGGCTTCCACAATCTCATGAGAACAAATATTTTTCAGACACCAAACCAAACAAAATTGATGAACTAAACATAGCTTGCAGTCACAGTGGGAGTAGAATACTGCTTGGACACTTCGGAGGCTGGCGCTGGCACTTGCCAGCTAGCCACCTGGCTGTGGTGACGAAGGCTTGTGTCTGTTCTTGTCAAGTGGCTCACTAGCAGATTAGCTTAACCAGTGGCAATCTGTCATGGGCCAAACTCATCCAATGGCAAACCGTGGCTTTTCAGGGTAGCTTGCAAGCCAGACTTAAGCCACCTTGACAAATGCATCATGGCTTTGCATGGCTTGGCTTTGCTTTGCTTCTGAGCCTTCATGGTTAGTCTGGCATGACTAGTAGCTCCTGAGTGTGAATATGCAACCTGGATTTAGTGCTGGAAGATGTTGGAAGGCTGCTGTTGTCCATGATGGAGAGCTAGTAGTTGCATTTTGTTTGCTTATTTAAGGAATGTATACCCCACTTTTTCTAGACCAAAGTGCTCCTGGGAAGCTTACAAAACACCTTTGAAGCATTAAGTGTTGCTGTGCCAGCAGCAACTCCACCTGCCAGATTTGACCCCTTCTCTCATTCCACCTAGACTTTTGCACTTGATATAGTACAGCGGGTCATGTACTGTTTGTATTCCATCCTAATTGTAAGTCATGGAAGCCTAGAAAAAATATAAGGCTTTTGCAAAACATAGCATGGCTGTCAGCCTTGAATACCTGCACTCTCTCACACACATGCAGGAATGAATCCACATGTTTACTTATAAACCATTCTGTTGTAATAACTCAGTTCAGACCTTTCTTCTATTTCTCAGCCAGATAAGTTATTCATAGCACAGATCTCCAAATACATTTATTTACTAGAAGTGTCATGCTTTTAAAGAGGAAACATCAGTAAATTTTTGTTGTATTATCCTTTGACCTATCTGAGCCAGGAGCTTAATTTACAACAGGCTTCCAGCAGCAGTGATAAAGCAGCATATTTTAACATGTGTTGAAGTTAGAACTACTTAGAATTATGGGACAAACATTGTGCTGTGTAGAGAAAGAGAAAAAAACATTTTTCTACCTGGATCCGGATGCAAATATTTATTCTCCACTGTCATACTAGCTATGCACAATGCCTAGCTGTGTCTCTGAACCAAACCTGTTATTTCTCATTTTGAAATAAGACTAAATTTTTTGCCTTTGGGAGTACACCAAAGTGAGTAATCGGATTTTCCTGTTTTACAAAAGAGCCAGTTCAATTAATTTATGCTATCATTAGAATCTAAATGCATTTGTCTGAAGTTAATTATGGCTTGTCCACAGTATTTGGTTTTTCATGTCTCTGTTTTTTAAATCCAACACAAATGAACTATTTTCAGCATGAACTAATATAATATTATTTTATAGGTTCTCAGACTGCCATGGAGAATGTTGCTTCACTTACACAAGAGCCCTTGTCTGAGCCTAGCTGACTGAGGAAATATATGGGTCAGCTTTAATAGTGGCAATAACCATTATGCTCTTGGCAGCCAGCCTGGCTTATTCTTGCTCTAGATTCTCTCTCTCTCTCTCTCTCTCTCTCTCTCTCTCTCTCTCTCTCTCTCTCTCTCTCTCTCTCTCTCTCTCTCTTTTAAGTGATGCTATTCTGTCATAATGCCATTACCATCTTCTCCTGCTTTAAGAAGGTTTGTCCTCAATAAGCCATATTATGTTCAGGCAGTTATACATGTCCTGCAGTTCTCTGACTGTGTATTCAGGACTAGAATCACATTTTTACATGATCTCATCAATATTTCTTGTCAATGCTTCCCTTTAGTTACTTTCTCCTCATCCAACCCCTTCTCAAATGGAGCCCTATTTGTCTGTAGCAAAGTTTTCATTTTCTGGCCCTGCTGAATTCAGCAAGTGAAAACTCACATAACTTGGAACTGCTTAATTCATGTTAGATAGCTCCTGGTATATTTTAATCAGCCTGACATCCACTTGGATGTTAATGGAGGGTTTTTTGTTTTAATAGATGGGTGACTTCTCCATGCTTATGGAAATAATGGTGGTTCTACATTAGAGTTTACTCCTGTTCAGGCTTTCCTAAAAGCATGCTATTTAAACATGTGAGGAGAGGGAGTGCTCCAGCCCTTTGCCAGATATTTGGGCTGTATTGGACTATTTCATTTTATATTCCCCTTCTGCTGCATTGCTTTTGATTTAATGTTCTATCTCCAGTTTTAATGCATTTATTGGGTTTTTAATGCTCTTAGATTTTTATTATATCCCTTGCTTAATTTTTAATTTTAAGTGTATGACACTTCAGAGGCCCTTGTTAAGACCGAAAGGCAAAGAATAAATCTTTTAAATAAAATAAATATGTGACAGCCCAATTTGCAGCATCAGAGATATTTTAACAGCTAAGGAGTTGAGGGTAGGATTTCTGAACTATGGGTTGTCCCCAAGGCTAAGTAAATCATCAGAATGCTTTCAACATATTAGAAAGGAAGGATTTAGATCCTCATGCAACCTATTAGATGCAACCACTGGCATTGCTGTGGGGAGAGGCAGCTCTCACAAATTACAGTCTGCTTAAATAGATGTGTCCAGTTCTGAGGAGGAGGCAGAAGGGCAAAGGTGGGCAGATACCTCAGCACTGTCAAGGTTACCTAGTGGAGATTTTCAGGCAGAGCATGAGAACCAGCCCACCTTGGAAAAGGAGGGAGATGTTTCAGAGCTGGGAGGGGAGGCAAGGGAAGTGTTCCTTCAGGCAGTCAGGAGACAACAGGTGAAGCGAGTGGACCAGCTCAGAAGAGTCGGGCATTCCTGCCATCTAATCCTCAAGCAGCAAGAGCCACCCTTGGGATGGAGTCAGAAGCTTTATGAAAGGGAGAAAAGAAAGGAACATTTTCGTTTGGATTCAGCTCTTCACATGGACAGATGATTCTCCTGCATCTCAAGGAGACAGCTACTTTGATTCACACAGTTCTATAACCTGTAAAGTTTTAATAAAAAGACTGGGCTTCTGAAGTCTCATCTGAGTCTGCAGAACAGGGAAAGAGGGAGGGACAGCCCTGCTCACAATGATTACACTATCCCTGAGCCATTGTAACAAGACAGGTTTAGATCTGCCAAATACCTAACAATAAAAAAAACTAGCAGACTCAGCCTCACATGGGTTGGAACAGTCTTTTGTTTGATACGGCAAAACCTTCAAGCAGACTTCTGCAGTTGGCCCCATGATGCCTACCTTGCCTGAGTGAAGGTACACCTGTCAGCACTTCTGGGCATGGGCCCTGCAAGGAAGGGGAGGGAGGGGTCTGTCCATTCCATTCCCCTGAAGGGAAGCTTCCCCACAGCAGGGCGAGAAGGGCAGATGTATCACTCTGTCCCTGGCCCCTCTGATCTCCCCTGGCTTCAAACTGTAGGGACTGCACAGCAATGTGTTGGTTGGAGAGGTCTGCCCCTAGTGGCTGGAGATATTACTGCAGCTTTCAACCAATGGACACATTAGAATTGATTAAATTGAATGCTTTCTTAAAATCAAAATAACCCAAGGTGCACACCCTTAGGTCATCCTTTATGTTCACACCAAGTTTTGGGTGTCTGAATTTCACAGTCGTCTCTATTGTACTGACAGATGGACAGACAGACATGCCTCCTCTTTTTTTTTAATTTAAAACATTTGTATGCCACCCAATTGTGCCACAGCAACTCTGGGCTCCCACAATTACAATTATTATTATAGATACACACAGTGAAGACAGGGATTGGATGAGGACACGGGACAACAGGGCTAGATTGATTGTGGCCACTGTCAAATACTTTCACAATTTAAACAGAATTTACACTAATGCCACAATTGGGTAGTGTGCTGCAGGCCCTCTCCATAGCCAGCTTCTTCCTCAGAGCAAGCCGTGGCATGAGAAGCTGCCCCTGGAAATCGCTTCTCCTCACCTGGTAGCACAGGAATTTTTAAAAGGCAGGCAGGAGTCAGAAGGAAAAGAAGGTGAGGTGGTAGCAGGGAGCAGCCAATCTGCTGGTTCAGCGCTCCAGCTCAAGTTTCAGGCCGGGTGCAGCAATTGTTGAACAAGCTGACCTTGCAGCAGCACTGAAAGTAAGTTGCACTGCTATGTCACGTGCTCTCCAACCTGACTTCAGGTTTTGAAAAGCTCCTGGCGAAGGACCTGTGGGATTCTTCCTTCTATAGTGGCAGAAATCCCTGGAGCCCTGTAGTCAGATCTGGGGGAGCCATCATTTAAGTTCGCCACCATGCATCCAAGGCATAGTGGGAATACAAAATGGCAGGCCCAGCCTCTCACTCGGCCCAAAAAGGCAAAGTATTTACACAAAAGTTGCTGGGAGCAGCACATCTATCAGCACCTCACCCTACCAGATTAGTGGGGGGCCAGCAGCTGTTCGAGGGTGTCACAAGCTGCCTACAGACCTGATGTTACAATTCGAAATAATTTTAGCACTGTGAGGAGCAACCAAAATCTCAGCTATCATCAAAGTCTTGTCATTTTTATTGCCATTCTTGTCCTTTTGAAAGTATGCTGCAGTGTTTCTGAATCTGATAAAAGCTAATTCTGAGGAATGCAGGGACAATACTAACTTGCCCAGGTTTTTGTTTTGTTTTGTTTTGTTTTGTTTCATTTCGTTTCATTTCGTTTTTGGCTTGGCATGCAAGATTGTTATTTTTCTTTCCAGCAGGGTTCAAAAACCCTTAAACCGTTCTTTGAAAATGTATAATCCACATTCCTTTTCTTTTTTAACAAACCATTCTGATAAGCCTTCCAAAAAGCCATTATGCAATACATTGCAAGACTCCAATAGAACTACACAATACAATGTGAAACTGTGCAGCTTTATATATATTCATTTCCAGGCACAGCCAAATAAAGCCACACATCTAATTGCTTTACGGTGCTAAGGTCAACTCTGTAAACCTCCTCTTTGTAACACTGGCCACATGGTAAGGATAATAACTGTGATTAACTCTACTTATGCAGAGCTTTCTGCTTTCAAAGTGTGCACTGAAGTACCAGTTCATACCAGTTCACATGAGGTCCTCCTGACCATTTTAGCACCTTCTGAGGGATTTGTGTTGTCACAGATGAGGTTCCAGGGTTCAGAGAAATAATGACTGTAATTTTCTTTTGCATTAGGCTCAGGGTCAAAAGCCCCTTGGGCATCTTCTCTCTAGGTAGAAATGGCACATGCAGTGTCACTTTCCCACCAAGGATTAAACTGCGTATCTAGGTCTCACAAACTCCAGTGCAAAAAGTGAAAACATTTTCTGCACAGTTATTCTCCCGCCACTGGTTGGGATGTGAACCTTTGCCTTTCCTTTTGAAGCCCAGAAATACATTTCTTTGCCTTTGATCAAGGGAAGACAGAAGGGTTTGGCCCAATTCAACTGTCTGGGCCATCTCTTCCCCCTACAGAGTTAAGCACAGAAACTGAACTTTTAATTCCATGCTTTCATTATGCTAAACTGTGGGCATTTTGCAGAACTCAGTATCAAAAAAGCCACCCTCCTGCTCCCAGTAACCAAGAACCCAATGACTAATTCTCAAGGTGATTCCTTCTTTCTCAGAACCAGCCCTCATGGTTGGCCTTCCCTCCTTAAGGGACATCTCACCCCTAGATTGGTCATCATGTCCATTTCCTCCCATTGCTTCCCTTCAGACAGGTTCTGGTTCCCCATGGATTCTGGGGCAGCTGGAGCCTCTCCTCCCTTCTCTGCTACCCCTGTTCTCTCCATCCTTGGGGCTCCATTCTCATATTCTCTTTGCCTGGACCAGAATCTTCCCATAACCTCTGGGGCTCCTCTGCAGAGCTAGTGAGCCCAATCTCTACACCAACTCTCATGCATTTGATAGAGGTACTCACAGTCCTGAGTGCTCATCAACTGCTCAGGACCTCCCTAATCCATGCTGTGTTCTCCCATAGTGCAACTGCCCCTGCAGGGCCCTGGCTTTCCCCAACCCTTAGAATGCAGAGGAAGGCCAAGAAGCCAGAAAGTGCGAAGATGATGTGACCAAAGCAACACACTAGGAGTATGTTTGGCTGAGAAGCTACCCCATATATGTCCCTTTGGAATCAACGGAGGGGGCAGAGCAGTTTTTGTATCATGCCTATTTAATTCAATGGGAGAATGTTCATTTATTTTAAGGGGAGTGGTTGGTGCTCTAGGAGACGACATTTAGCCATTGCATTCTAAACAATCGTATGTTTGAAGGCAGAGTCAAAACTCCTATTGAATGTAGCAGGAACAAACTGGAGCTAACCGTATTCACGGCCATTTTGTGTTCCTAACACCATTCTTCCTTGCACCTCTGTGGCTTGTATGTTTGAGGATGCACTTTTTTCAAGTTACACAGACTAATTTATTCGTTGTAGCAAAAGGATACACTGGTAGGAAAGTGCATTTGGTGACTGTTGATTTTATCGTTATGAAATGAAAGCAAGGTTTTCAGGGGGAAAGTGAGGACTGAGAAGAAGAACCACTATTGTTCTGGGGAGGCTAACCATGCCTAGTTGTTTTTCTGGACTGTTAGCCGCCTTTGTTTTCATGGCCTCATTGGACAAATACGGTACAGTTTGGAGGCTCATACAAGCGTAGGGCAGGAGGAACACAGAGCTAAGCTTGTCATACTTGTGAGAGGGAGGAAGCTGGCTTGGAAAGAAAGAAATTAAGTAATGGCATCTGCAGCATCCCAACCCTCAGCTGATCGGTTGGAAGTAGAGACAGAAGAAGCATGCCTGATATGATCCAACACGTTTGGTTTCCCCTTGGCTGGCAATAGAGGAAACTACCAGTGCGTGTTATGATCACTAATGTTGGTAGACACCCTCGAAGTCAGAACGATGTTACCTCCGCAGCTTTCTGTGCTATAAGGTGAAGAGTCACTCTTTTATGCACTGAATGTTGGACGGCATGATATGGTCCAAAAATTGATGCTGGGCTTTTTCCGCAGGCGATTGAGCCAGAGACCGACTGCTGAAGAATTGGAGCAGAGGAACATCCTCAAACGTGAGTAGCTACAAGGTTGAATTTTGAGGAGGTAGTGGTGCGGCCACAGAAATGTCTTACAACACAGCATGTCCATGAGCAGATGAACCAGGGACCTAATTCAGCTCTGATTTCTTTCTACTGGAATCAAGAGTATTTTTGGCTCTTTCAATGCTACTGTTATCCAAATAACATGTCCAGCAAAAGACATGTACCAAGTGTGTGTCTATCAGCATTTTTAGTTTGATGCTCTGGTGAGAACATATTTGGGTTATAAGTAGGTAGCCAAATTAAGCAATGGCATCTGGAGCATTCAACCCTCAGCTGATCAGTCAAAATCCAAGTTAAGAACCATCACTTGCTATTGTTCTTTTCTAGTCCAAGCCTGTGTGTGCTTACTCTGAAGTAAATCTCACTGATTTTGGTAGGGTTTACTGCCAGGTAGGTGTGCACAGAACAGCATCCATGCACCGCAATCCGATGCATGTCTACTCAAGGGCAAGGGTCCTAATGTCTCACAGGGCTTCCTGCTTGGTGAGTGTTTTACAGCGCTGGCCACACAAGCAGTTTTTAAAACTTTCCTCATTGGCAAGTAATTCCCTAGTGATTTTGTTCTCCTGAAGTATATCATTCGATTCTGAATTGAATGCAAACACTTAAGAGAAGACAGGTGTGATTTATAGCACAGTGAGGCATTCGCTATATAAAGTGAATTAATCAGATCTGACCCTATGGAAAAAAATATATATAAATCATTGTATATTGATATTTGCACTGTTATTTTTATTAATATTTTTGTAAAGCAAGTTGGAAATAGAATTGACTTTAAAATGGCTGGAGCTGTTTAGCTATGAATAATTAATCAGAGGCAATTGAGTTTAATTGAAACTACTGCTGTAGAATGTTGCTGTGCACATGCATCTGAGAATAAATTTCAATGAAATAAATAGGTCTACTGCCTAAACTGGATGCTGTAAGTTCTAGCAAGCTGTCCTGTTAGAAATAAGAGTATGTCCAGACATACACAATTTGAATGGTGAGCTAAATGCCTTCATTATATTGTTAGTGGAAACCCATCTGCCAGTTGTATCTCAGAGTCTGTGTGCAGTGCTCATTGGCTGGGCCTTTTGATAGTCACATTTTTTTCAATTCTAAGCATTATTTAAAGTAATACAGTAAATGCAGAACAAATGTTTAATCTTCTGAACTCTCAAGGCACTTGCAAAGCACTTACAGTAAAAGCAAAGCCACGTGCTTGCAAAAATACGTATCACATGATGGCATATTTGTCAGGCAGCTGCAACTGGATGAAGCTCTTTGTGGAGCCTGGATTATTCACTTTCCCTTTTGTGGAGTGATTTCTAATAAGTCCATTTATGGCCTTTCACTGGCTGTTATCAGCAACTGTATTTATAAGAAAGAATGCCATGATGGGTCTGTAAGCACCATAGAGGATGCCGTGAGCTGACTCATTTCCTGGAAAGCAGTTGCCATTTGTAGCATCAAATGCAATCAACTTGCACGGGTGGCCCATTGCCACACAATATTTTCCTCTGTATACAACCTCTTTGGGAGTCATTCCAGAAGCGATTCCATAAAAGCGGAATGTTACATCAGGCTGAGTCCTGAGCTGTACTGGCGCTGTTGGAATGCTCTCCGCTGAAGCTAGCAGGGATACAGTGCCTCCTTCCCCTGCTACAGCGGATCCGAGGATGCCCCAGGCTCCCTGCCTAATGGCCGGTACAACTGAGTCATGACCCACGTGCTGACCCACAGCCAGACTCAAAAGGATTTGGATGTTTTGTAAGGGATACAAAGCTGGGCTTTAGCAAAGACGTAGCAAACATTTGCTCTTCCCAGGGGTCCCTTGGGTGGAAGATATTAAGAACTCTCTATGTATTGCTTTCTGGCTCTTGTGTATTTCACATGTCCAACCGGTCTAGACCATTGTGAATCTTTTTCTAGCACGGAATGAGCAAGAGGAGCAGGAAGAAAAACGGGAGATAAAGAGGAGATTAACACGTAAGGTGAGAAGCTTAACTGGATGTTAATTCCTTGCCTTTTTACATCTGGATTGGGTCTTTTGCAGAAGGGTTGGTGGGTTGCTACACATACTTCATAAAAAAGGGACTCCATTCCTTAGAAGAAGGCCATGAAACGTTTTTTGTGGGTACCTCTTTCAAACACTGAAGAGAGTGATACAAACACTTGTATAGTCTGCATGTAAGTCTGCATGCATGAAGCAGCCCATCAGGGACTTGCTAGACTTCAGTAACAGGAGGGGAGCCATGTCCAGCACTTGGCAACAGTGCTGCAGGGTGGAAATTTTTTCAGTGTTTTATTTTTTCTGCAGAAAAAAATGTCCCTTTCATACATTCATTAGTAAAAATGAATGCACGCCAGTTACAAGTGCAATATTAGATCAACTTGGTAGTTTCAAAGTTGCAATTAATGGTTTTCAGATGATTATTCAAGCAAGTATGTGAGAGAATAGACATGTGGCATGGAAATTCTTCTGCGTCTCAGAGTGAAATGGAACTAGCAAACAGTGACAGGACTGAAAGTCCCCAACAACCTTAGTGGAACAGAGTTCAACTGGTTTGAAAGGGATTAGTTGTCATCAGCATATTATGTGTATTTCTTTGAGATGCTAAAAATAATTAGTGTGTCAACAGTTTTCAGTACTTGCAGGGTGGTCCTTAAATTTAAATAATGGAGGGAAAGTATATGTTTGGGGGCATTAGAGCACATACACAACTGAGACCAAAATAATTGAGCCCTGTATTTATCAGCTCTAGCCAGCATAGTCAGCGGTGACAGTTGATGAGACTTTGGACCAGTATATCAGGAGGGTCAGAGCAGCCCACTCCAGTCTAGGGGCATTAGAATATTTTCTGATGCAAACCAAACATGTTCCATAAAAACCAAATCACTGCTTGACAGGCTACAATGCTTGCCTTTGGTTTGGTGGGACAGAAATTATACAGGCCTCAGAGTCACTTCCAATAATACCCTTTCCAATGTAGGCTTTATAAACTGATGCAAGAGAATGGTCAGAAAACACATTTTTTATAACCTCAAAAATGTGAGTATATAATGTCTCAAAACCTTTGCAAAACTTTCTCATGAAGCAGTTTAGGACAGAGGTAGACTTTGCAGCACATACAGGCTGGAACCAAAATGGCAGCCCAGGATCAAGTCCAGCAACTCTTGCTCCATGACTTAATGGCATCACGCAGCAAGTTTCCCTGCTCAGCATGGTGGAGCTGAGAGGCAGTAATCACATCTATCAAAAATGCATTTAAAAAATAAACCACAACCCCCATTAACACCTAGTTCAATTCACAATAGTGTAATAGTCTTACTAAGAAAAAGTTGTCAATTACAAGAGACAGAATTCAGGCTTAGAAAGAAGGCGAAATGTAAGTTAGAAAGGCATTGCTAGCTACTTCTTGCTTGATGAATTGCATTATCATAGATCGGTTTGGGACCTGACATAAACGCTAATAGTCACCTTCTTCCAGCTTTATTTATTTATTTATTTATTTATTTATTTATTTATTTAAAACATTTCTATGCCGCCCCCATCACAACAAAGCCTCAGGGCGGCTCACAACATAATTAAAATATATAAATATCAGTAAGTACATTAAAATTCATTAAAAACTTGGTAACATCTCGGCATAAAATTTAAAATCCTAAAAATACATAATAAATTAACAATTAAAATAAGTTTTAAAGAAAAAGGTCTTAGCCTGGCGCCAAAAAACAAATAACGACAGCGCCAGGCGGACCTCTCTGGGGAGCGCATTCCATAGGTGGGATTTCTCAGTCAGTCATTCATAATTCAATAGAAACCACAAAAGAAGCAGACCATTTCCAAAGTCTTATAACGGGGTGAAAATGTGGCCTCCATTCCTCTCCATTGGCGGTGCTGATGGGAGTTGCAATGTAACAACTATTGGACCACACGTATAACAAAAGTCCTCTTAAACTCCAGCTTATGAAATTCAGAGTCTATGTTTACATTCCTAAATTAGCATAGCCTTAGAAGGGCAGGATCTTTCCTCCCTCTGTCTCTCATTTATAAAGTGAAACAGAAATCTTAGGAAATGATAGAGAGCAGTAGAAATAATAGTATTTTGCAAGAAGGACACCTAACCCAGGGGTAAGAAGTTCAGGTGAAAAAATAGGAGCAGCTATTTTGAACAAATTGTGTTTCTTATCAAGAAGGAGTTGATGAGGGGAATGAGATTTCCTGTATCATTCCTGGCCTCCTCCTAGGATATGCCCAAGACTCTTGGCCTCTGATTACCATGTCTTAACCCAAATAGAAAGGAGGCTTTGGTGCTATATATTAGATTTGTTGCCTCTGGACACTGACCTCTGCAATAAACAGATGTGCTGATGCCCCAAAGCAACGGGCTGCATCCACACTTTGGTTGCTGTTACAGTAATACCAAGGAACTTCTCAATGGGATGGCCTAATGCTTCATTCTTCCTGCAAAAGCTGTGGCAGAACATTGTTTTAGATTCATAAACTGCAACTGCACCAGGGGTAACCCTATTGGACAGCTATATCACATATTGCCTTGTAGATTGGCTTAGTATCAATATCTGAAATGAAACATCCCATAGTGTTGAGGATACACAAAGGATAACCTTCCTTGCCATTCATATCCATAGCAAATCTGTGCTACCAATTGAGAGAGCTTGTGTTGTATTGAAGGGACCCATGCAGAAAACAGGCAAGGCCTTAGCAGACCAGATTCACTGCCCAGCTTGCCTCTTGGGCTCTGCCTTTCAGCCTGCCCACTGGGCTCGGTCGACCAGAAGCCAAGGTAGATGAGAGACATCCCATGGTGCAATGGAGAGGGTTCCACGGAATGAGTGTGCAGGAGTGAGGCACTCCCTTACTCTTTTTGTGACACCAAAAGGCTGGCCACTGGCGACACAGGGCTCGATCAGTGTGAGAAGGCCTTTAATTTTCATTTTCACATAAATCAAGATGACACAGAGCAAGGAAAAAACAGGTGGATGCCTGTTGATTTGGCTGTTCATGGCCTGTTTATTCCTTGTACTGCTAATATTTTCGGTCAGTGAATGCACACCCCATTGCTGGGATTAACTTCTTGCCCATATTCTTTCCAGCCATTTACTCTGGGTACTTGGCCTCAGGCAGATCTGTCCGCCACACCCTAAATTTGCACTGGTATCAAAAGCCGGAAATATGCAAAGGGCCAACAGGCAGGCTGACTTTCAGTGAATAGTGCAGGTTTGAAGCCACACTGATAAATTTGCTGATAAAGCCACACAGATAAATGACTATAAATGCAATCCTCACCAGTGAAAGCATTCATGCTGATGTCTTAAAGAACGTGATTTCTGGTAAGTAGCTTTCTTTCTGGACCTTTGGAGGAGGCCCCCATTTGTCCAAGATCTGCCCTGTGAACATTACAGCTGCTGCACAGAGCAGCCACTTCAAGTCAAATTCTCCGCCTCAGCTGCCACAAGGTGCTGCCTGGGCGAGGGCAGTGGTGGAGTGAGTTTCCCTACTTCCAATATAGATCAACAGTAGTTGCCTATGATGAGAGAGCCCTGAATTGAATTACTGTCTTATAGAGTGGGTTGTAAGAAGTTTGAGAAATCACCGACAGGGGATTCACATCTATCCCCTTAAATGTCAGCTTTAGAACTGCTCCAAGGCAAGACTCATCTTTTCCATCCAGTTTCTCCCCATCTTGTGATTAAGAAGATGTTGCTGAAGTTAATTTTACTCCCTTTCTTCCCTTTGATTTGAAGGTTATGTACACATACACACTCCATTGCAGATGGAAGGTTAGAGGTACTTCAACCCAGGAGCCTCAGTATAGCCAAATTCATCATATATTGATTAAAGATGATACAATTATACATTTAAAATAAAAACATACCTATGCATATGTATGTACATACACACAGAAGCCCACTACAAATCAGTGGGCTTAAAGTCTGCTGCCCCCTTGGATGGGTTGTGACTGTGGCCTCTTTCATGTGCTGGGTATCTCATGGCTCCCAAGTGCCTGATGCCCAGAAGTCACATAACATCTGCCTGTTCACAGTCTTCTCTGATGCTTCGTAGCTTTTCAGCAAACAGACACAGAGGCAAACTGCATGCTGTGCTAGTCACTTAGTGTGTATGCAATGGTTTGATTTTTGCTAATTCTCATATAAACTAGAATCACTCACCCTCAACTACATGCTACAGAATAAACACAATTTGAGTGCCAGGGACTCCTGGACCCTGCATGGAGAAGTGTTAGAGAAAGCAACAGTGCACCAAATTATGTTCTCTTTTTCTCCCCTGTAAGAGTTCCACTTGTATCCAGTAGCATTCTAAAGCCTAAATAAGCCCCAAGCATAGGAAACTTCCTATTGGTTTGCACATAACACTAACCCATGCTTTCTTTAATCCTTCATTTCTTGTCTTGCCAAGGGTTTACCTGGCAGATAATCAAACAACCAGTAGTTTGTTTTCTCAGTTATTGGTTTGTTTGCTTCCCTTCACCTTCATCGGCTCTCTCCCTATATCCCAGATGACTTTGTAGTGCTATAACATGCTGGCGGTTTTTTAACCATTTTTGCTCACCACCTGGGAGAGCATCCCATGCTTCTGGCCTCACATACAACAATCCATTGTTTCAGCAACCCAGAGTTCACAACCCAACAACAAACCATAGGAGCATTTGGAGCAGAAGCACAATATGCTGGTGACGGAAGAGTGACTTCCTTAGATTACGGTGAAGGCTGTGTTTGGCTTACAAGATTTTCTGCTTTGATCATTTGTCATTACACAAAATATAAATAGAACACTATGTATTTACAGTTCATGCTATATTTAGATTACATCTAGAATCTGTAACAAAACAGTCAAAAGCTTTGCACTCAGTGATAACACTGATATTTCATCTTTAATTTATATAACTGGGTGAGGTAGCAAAAGCATGCTAACATGAGCTAAAGATGGCTTGTCAAACTTACCTTTGAA